TGGTAAGTGATGAGATGCACACACAAATAATAGAGAGATTCATGTTGAGTGAAGACTTCTGCAGGAGATGTGCCCAAGGAGAAACTGAGGGATGAATGAGAGCGAGCCAATTGAAGAGAGATGGGAAAGAAAACTGCATTAATAAGGCATTCAGGTGTAAGATAGATGGTACTCAAACTCCAACATCATACTTTTTCCCTAAACCTTGTTTATTTTTTTCCTTTTCCACAACCTTTTTTTTTTTAATTTTTAAAAACTTTTTTCAATGTTTTTATTTATTTTTGAGACAGAGAGAGACAGAGCATGAGCAGGGGAGGGGCAGAAAGAGAGGGAGACACAGAATCTGAAGCAGGCTCCAGGCTCTGAGCTGTCAGCACAGAGCCCGACGCGGGGCTCAAACTCACGGACCGTGAGATCGTGACCTGAGCTGAAGTCGGACACTCAACCGACTGAGTCACTCAGGTGCCCCCCTTTCCCACAACCTTATACTTCAAGCTAGAGGATACCATAATAGAAGTGATGATCTGTTTCATATTCTTAAGATCCCAGGAACAGTGATAGTGTATACGCTTTCTAAGGTCAATGCTCTTTAAGTCAATGCTTCAGTACAAGAAACCTATTAAAGCTAAGAAGTCCAGTGACTTTGCCCCATGCTTCTCTGATTGCTGGCTTGCTGATTAGAGACTTTTGTTATATAACCCCAATCCTGGACAGCATCAGGATTACTGCAGAGCTTTGGGCCCTCAGATCATCTCAATGGTATTTAAAAACAAAGTTCCTTTTCCTGGAATCTTAAGAAGTAGAAACTTTGAATAATGTTTATGTATATTTCCAAATAGCAAAAATGACTGTAGTTCTTTCTTGAATTACGAGGAAATCTCCTCTTGTAATAAAAGTAATTGCTGATATTATCTGTGTCTTTTTTTAAGGGCCCTGGTTGTATTTCTAGGAACAATACAGTTTTTCTTTGGAAACATACAACAGTTCTGAGAATAATATCAAGTGAAGTAAGCTGATTATGTGGTGATCCAGAAAGTTCATCTGTCTTGTTGTGTGTCTTTACTTTAGTAAGCATTAAAGATATGAAACTCTTGGGGCGCCTGGGTGGCTCAGTCGGTTGAGCGGCCGACTTCAGCTCAGGTCACAATCTCACACTCCGTGAGTTCGAGCCCCGCGTCGGGCTCTGTGCTGACCGCTCAGAGCCTGGAGCCTGTTTCAGATTCTGTGTCTCCCTCTCTCTGACCCTCCCCCATTCATGTTCTGTCTCCCTCTGTCTCCAAAATAAATAAACGTTAAAAAAAAATTAAAAAAAAAAAAAGAAAGATATGAAACTCTTTTCAAAGCTCTGTCAGGTCTTCCTGGAAGGCAAGGTGGGGCTGCAATACTTGCAAAGGGGCCCTGTTTTGTCTGTTTGGGCCACTATAGCAGAATACCATGGACCAAGTGGCTTACAAACAACAGAAATTCATTTCTCACAGTTCTGGAGGCTAGGGAGCTCCAAGATCAAGGCCGTGGTGGATTGATGTCTGGCGAGAGCCTGTTTCTTAGTTCATAGTCTTTTCGTTGTATCCTCATGTGGTGGAAGATGCAGGAGACCTCCCTGAGGCCTCTTTTATAAGGGCACAAATTGTGTTGATGAGGCTTCTGTTCTCAGGCCATAATCATCTCCCAAAAGACCCATGTCCAGATGCCATCACACTGGGGATTAGGTTTCAACATATGACTTTCAGGGGATTACAGACAGTCTGTAGCAGTCCTCTTTTCAAGTTCTTGGTTAGGGGTGGAAGTGGGCTAGAGGGTTTCTATAATATCATTTATAGTTCTCTGTACATAGTGGGCTCTCAATAAATGTTTATTAAGTGACAAAAAGAAAGAACGAATGAATGAAACTCTTATAAGTTGATTGGAGTGTGTGTGTGTGTGTGTGTGTGTGTGTGTGTGTGTTTCCAGTCACCTCTGAACTGATCTTTATGCTTTTGCCTTTGTCTCCCATAGTCCATTCTACATAAGCAGCCAGAGTGATCCTTCTGCTTCTGTTTACACAGAAGTCAGATCATGTCCCTCCTTGGTTTAAAGCCTTTATGGCTTCCCATCTCACCCAGAGTAAAAGCTGAACTCCTAAAGCTCTAAAGCATTGCACAGTCTGGCGTTTGTTACCACTCTCACTTCATCTAATCTGACCTTCACTTCACTCATTCTTCTCCGGCCACACTTGTTGATTCTCATAGATGCTTGGCAGCATTGTCCCTCAGGGTCTTTACAATTGCTCTTCAATCTGCTTGAAATGCTCTTCCCACCTAAATATATAAAGACTCCCTCTTTCTTTTTAGTCTTTGCTGAAATGTCACCTCCTCCATGAGGGCTTTCTTGGCCATCTCATTTAAAATTACAGCCTGCCCCTCTCCCCAACCCCCACCCATTTCCTATCCCTTTTTGTTGTCATCTAACACATTATATATTTACTTGTATTTATTTTGTTTATTGTCTTCCTCTTCCCTAACATCTCTCCAAACTAATAGAATATAAACTCTGAAGGCGGGGGTTTTAATACATCGTTATTCTCTAATTCTTCTTTGCTCAGAATATATACATGGCACATAGTAGCACCTCAAGAAATACTGGTTCAATGAATGACAAAATCAATATGTGTGTGTGGTCTTTAATAATATTTTTATTTAAAAAATTTTTTAAAATTTTTTAATTAAAATTTTTCTAAGTGTTTTTTTTTATTTTTGAGAGAGAGAGAGAGAGAGAGAGAGAGAGAGAGAGAGACAGAGTGAGAACAAGGGAGGGGCAGAGAGAAAGGGAGACACAGAATCCTAAGCAGGCTCCAGGCTCTGAGCTGTCAGCACAGAGCCCGACATGGGGCTTGAACTCACACACTGTGAGATCATGACCTAAGCTGAAGTCAGACGCTTACCCAACTGAGCCACCCAGGTGCCCCTTTAATAATAATTACCGATGTTCATAAGCAAAGCTTCTGTCTGAGACTTCTATTTTCTGTGTCTTCTTCAAAGCCTAGGGCAGAACAAAATAAAGGAGGAAAGGAACAGAACTGACATGAGTCAGTGTTTAGCTGAGTGGCTTAAATTGGACCAACTAAGTAATGGAATGAAGGTCAGAGGAAGCAAAGGGGTAGGGTGTAAGTGTGCGTCAGGAGAGAAGAGATTTCTAGCATGTCTGGTGTGACAGAAGGCAGTGGGAAGGACACAGCCTGGAGTGTGAGAAATTCCTGTTCTCAAGTTCTGGCTTTACTGCTCAATTTCTGTGTGACTTTGGGCAAGCTCCTTGACTTTCTGAGGCTTCTACCTGTAAAAAAAATACAAATACTACTCTGCAAGGTTGTTGTGAGGATTATATAAGGCAATATAAATAGAAAGAGTGGCATAAAGTAGTTTTTAACAAGTGTTCTTGTCTTTCCCTGAAAACTCTTCCTCTTGGCTCCCACTTCCTTTGGTTATATTAATATCTATTCATTCCTTGTTGCTTTCCTTAAACTCTGCCCACAACCTTAGCTCTTTAATTCCCTGTAGTTACCCAGCTTGGTTGTGCCCTGACTGACAAAGTGATTGGTTTCAAGAGTAGCCTTTGAATTTACATCCCTAAAGTGAAATTCTGAGATTGTATGGTCACAAATACACTTCTTTTCAAGGAAAGTGGTAAAGGAAAAGTTAAAGTGCCCAAATGTCTACCTCTGAAATGAGTATAAAATCAGAAGGGCTCAGTAGCAGCTTTAAAGGGTTCCCAACTTCTGTAGTCACAGGACAGAGATGACTCAGGACCAGGCTGGAGTCTGATAGTCAGGAGGTGTGGGAGAGACGTGTGTGATGTTCCTTTCATGGTGGGTAGCAAGTGGGGAAATGTTTGCGCCTCGCTTACGTGTTGCCAGAGGATATCCCCTGTGAAGCAGGCTCCAGTAATCAGGTTGACAAGACGTCTCTCCATTTGCCTTTTTCTCACAGCATGTGTATTAAGCTTTCATACACATATAGCTATGGCAGCAGTGTCAGAATCTGTGCATGAGCCCATAAACATGGGTTTCCCTTCACCAAATCTGATCCCGGACATGTATCATTCTCCAGGGGGATCTGACAGTCATCTGGTGATGTGCTGATCACATCAAAGTTCTTTCAACACTGCAGAGGCTGTGCTTTGTTCCCATCAGAATAGACATGTGGTCTGGGTACAGATTTGTCTCTCTGCCCACAGTGGTTCCATTGGCACGAGTGGTCATAGACTTACAGAAAGTGCTGTATTATCTATCACCAGGCTGTTTCACAAAGCATTTCCTCCACCACTGGGGCACATGTTACATCAAGGAAAGGGCAGCAATAGGTTCATTCCCACAACACTCACTGATTTTGCTTTACTTCAGGGAGCCGGGAGCAGTCACACAGTACCAGCTATGAGATGACATGCCGTAAGATTACAAGCTATCGTACAGATTGTGGTGTATGCCTTAAACCATCAGCCCACATGTGTTAGTCTCCCCCTTAGTCAGAATATGAGGCTCTGGGATAAAAAATGGAGACTAGAACTTCTTATTTCATTCTTTTTTCTTTCCTTTCTTTCTTTCTTTCTTTCTTTCTTTCTTTCTTTCTTTTTACCAGCAAAATGGGTTTGTTTGGGAATAGCAATGATGGATAAACAAGCTATGGCAAAACCACAGGCTAGTCTCCCAAACAAAGGAGAGGAATGCTCTTTTACAGAAAAGAGGAGTTGGGAAGTCTGTTATAAACAAAAATCCATTGGAGTAAACTTGGAGTTCTAAGTATAGTGGTTTTTCATTAGCTATGTTGTGGCTGTCTCTCATTGGCTGGGCTGTTGCTAAGTGAGAAGGAAAGCCTTTCTTTTTCCACGCTGGGATAGTAAAGAAGTGTCTATGTTCAAAGTGCTTCTCTTCCTGTTGGGTCTGTAGTTGATGAGTGAAAGGGCATGAATGCATCTCCTGCCAGCCTCCATACTGTATTCTAAATGAGATTTCCTTTTATTAATTTTCCAGAGTTTCAACTGTTCTGGAGGTTGGAAGTCTAAGGTCACCATGGTGCCAGCATAGTTGGGTTTTGGTGAGTTCTCTCTTCTTGGTTTACAGATGACCACCTTCTTATAGTAGAAAGAGGAACACTTATATTGAGAGAGAGCGAGAGCGAGGGGTGGAGAGAGATGGATACATAGAGAGAGAAGCGGGGCTCACTCAAAGCAGAGCTTGTGCTCACCAGATGCGGGACTTGAACTCACGAATGGTGAGATCATGACCTGAGGTGAAGTCAGATGTTTAACAACTGAGACACCCAGGTGTCCCGAGAAGGATACTTTCTTTTATGCCAAATGACATATTAAAATTGTTTTTGCCTCTTATACGTGTATTCCTGGGCTTGGTAGATTTGGAAATCTAAGTGCCCAAGAGAGCAATGATTTAATCAGGGAAACTAGTCATAGTCTGAAAGTTCAGACTGCACTTTGGCTATTCTGGGCTTTTCATACCACTAAATCAACAGGCAGAGAAAGGAGTCACTGTTTGCCAACATGAATGAGCCCAAATGCCAAGGGAAAAATGGGTTGTTGCTCCATGGTCAAGGTAAGGAGGACTATGCCTGGGACCTTGGCAATTTGTTAGAACATCCTTTAGTACTCTCTGGTCCAATAGTTCTGGTAACTGGTAGTTCAGTAAACTGTGGCAACTCAATAAAGACTGAACCGATAAGGACTCAGGTCCTATAGAAATGAAGAGGGTAAGGTAAACAACTTGGTTGTAGAAAAAGCAAGTTGTGGTTATCAACTGAGGCTTTGTATTTACAAAGCCAGTGACCATAGCACCTAAATTGCATGTTAATTAATTGTTGCTGCTTCCCCCTGCTGCCTTGTATTTAGAGTGCTGGTCATACCTAATGTTTTAGACTTTAAGTGGGATTATGGTCTGACTCTGCACTAAAGTAATAGCTAATGATTTTTTTGCCATCTATAGCAGGGACACAGATTTATTTTTCACCAGATAAATGATCAGAATGGATGTTGAGTAGCAAAATGAGTAGACTGTGATGAATATCTTCTGCTGCCCCTCCAGATCCACTTCTCACCCTTTGCCTCCTGCTCAGGTGCTTGAGGCTGACTTTTGTGGACAGCAGCTAGTGGGTCCCTTTGCCCTCTGCCTTCCAGTTGGGTTCTGCCAATGGGAGATACTGAGGAGACATTGGAAAAAGGGAAGAGGGTGATGTCAGTGTGTTTACTGCCTAGCTCTCTGCCTGAGGTGTTACACTGGGTTGGCTGCTTTCCTCTGAGCTCTCTGGTTCTGGTAACTGCCACATCATTTGTCTCTCAGGTCTAGGGTTAGAAAGGACTCTTGCCATTGAGAACACTGGGCACCTCTTTGTTGCCTTCTCTAAAGTCTGCCCACTCATTTGTAAATACTTCTTTTGTTAAACCCTGCTGGATCCTCAAAGGCTACAATTATTATTTTCATTTAACAGACTAGGAAACTAAGAATGAGAAAGCTTAAGTTATTTGCACAAGTTTTCAAAAATAGTGGGCTGTGGAAATAAGTAATTGTGGAACTAGGATTTGCATCCAGATGACTACAACCTGATGCTAAGTAAATGGCATCAATCCTGATTACTGCGGCCCATATTGTCCACCAGGAGAAAAGTTTGAAAAGATAATTTATTGGCATTCAAAATCTCACTTTAAAGTTTATTTATTTATTTTGAGAGAGAGAGAAAGAGAAAGCACTAGTGTGAGTGGGGAAGGGGCAGAGAGAGAGAGAGAGAGAGAGAATCCCAAGCAGGCTCCATGATGTCAGCTGGGAGCCAAGCCAGACATGGGGCTGGAGAACCACGAGATCATGACCTCAGCATTTCTGGCTTGGCTCCCAGCTGACAGCAATGAGCAGCAGGCTTGGGATTCTCTCCCTCTTTCTCTGCCCCTTCCCCACTCACGTTTCTGTTTCTCTCTCTCTCTCTCTCTCAAAATAAATAAAAAAACCTCACATTTTAGATAAAGATGGCAGTAGGGAGACTTGAAATATATCTGAAAAGAAAGAAAAATAGCCAAATTTGAATATATCAAGCAGATGTTCTAATATGATTTGCAGAACACAGCCTTACTCATCTATTCCGAAAAGACCCCTGTTGGTTTTGTAATGTGTGATCTTTACTTTTTCCCTGGTCTGAGGTTTCTGTCTTTGGTTATGAGGCCACAGGTTGATGGATTGACGGTGGTGGTGATGTGGACAGAGGTGTTTCACCAAGGGTTTTATTGTGGTCGCATTATGTTTTAAGGTGGAAAATAATGCCAGCTATAATGGATATGAGACAGGTGAGTGGGAGCCTGGAATGGTGGCCCACACGAGAGAGCTGAGTCTAGTCTGGAAGAAGAGGTAAGGGAAATGGGAACAATGAAAACAGCTCTATCATTTAGTCTTGGCTTTGAGACCTTTCTGAAAAGCTCATCAGGAATTAACAGGGAATGGACACAGGGAAACACCATGGATATAAAAAAAAAAAAAAAAAAAAAAAGACCTTGTTTAGAAAGACAGAGAAGTGCAAATAACAAGGAAATCTAAAAGAGTCCATTAAGTCAGCCTCAGTCTGTGCCCCCTGCTGGAGAAAGGGGAAATTGGAATGGAACTTGCAAGGATTGAATTAGTAAAAGACTAGGATCGTAAATACTTAATGTGTGAAAATTTTGAGAAAAATGCACACATGCTGCATTATAGCACACAAGGGATTTAAAGATAAACCTGAATATATTTGCATCTAATTGGGTTAATGTGGCACTTTTGCTGATTGTGTCATTAGAGAGTGTGACAGAAGAATGTGGGTCTCACTTTGAGCTCTTCCCTGAATGATGGAACACAATATGGATGGAGGCTTGCAGAAGTGGATTAGCATTTGGTAGTGCAGGGTAGAAAACCACAAGGCACATAAAACAGAAAGCCAAGTGTTACTTCCATTGTTCCATTTATTCAAAGGGGCAATGTTCTGTATAGAACTTGTTGATGTGATTTGTCATGTATTTCTGCCCAGACCTGCACATACACAATCATGGGGGCTTTGTTGGCTCATGCTCCATATCTGGCCTTGGGATCAGAATTGGCCCTTCTATTCCTGGAGCCAAGAGGGATTAACTTGCTTCACCTTCTTGAGCCCGACCAGGCTCAAGATGGAAGAGAAATATGGATCAAGGAGGGAAGAGAAATATGCCAACGTCCAGGATCCTAAGATTGTGAGATATGATAAAAGAAACAGAAAAATACCCAGCTTGCTTAGGATTGTACTTAGACAAATTTATAAATTTTTTTTATAACATTTATTTATTTTTGAGACAGAGAGAGACAGAGCATGAACGGGGGAGGGTCAGAGAGAGGGAGACACAGAATCTGAAACAGGCTCCAGGCTCTGAGCTGTCAGCACAGAGCCCGACGCGGGGCTTGAACTCACAGCCCTCACAGACCGCGAGATCATGACCTGAGCTGAAGTCGGCCGCTTAACCAACTGAGCCACCCAGGCGCCCCGGATTGTACTTAGACAAATTTAATGACTAACTGTAGATCAGACAATGGTAGTATATATATTGCCCTGGTGGGAAAGCCTCACCTGAGGGGAGGACATTCTGCCCAGGACCCTCAATGGGGACTTCAACTGGGCTGTTCACCATGGGGCTTCCCCAGTCAGAAGGCTGGATGGTATGAGTACCCGACTTGATGTATTAACCCTTCTTTGTTCTTCTCTATACTTCTCTCTCTTTATGTTTACTATAATTGTTCAATTCCCTATATTCCCTTTCCCTTATAATTAATACAGCTTTCCTCCATGAAACAGAAAGTACTGCTATCATGAATTATTATTATTCAGAAGTCAAAACAAATGAGCAACAATTAAGAGCAAGCTTAACTTTTCTCAGTAATAAGTGAGATGCCAAAGGAGACAAAGTACTCTGAAATGTGAACATTAAATGGGAGCCAGGCTTAGGAAAAACAAGTAGAAGGAGATATAAATACATGCATTAATAATATGTTAAGGACCCTACAGAGAAGAATAGTTGGAACACATACACATTATATATATAATTCTACATGTGTATTTTTTTCCCATTTATATTTGATCTATATTTGTCTGAATGTGGAGTACAATGGAGGGCAGGTCCAGCTAGCATGATAAATGACATAGCATGTATTCTATAGAAAGTGAAAGCATGGGTACTATGAATTTGGCAGCCTATCTCTTGGGTGATGGAAATGGAAGAAATAGGCAAGAAGAGGAGTCCAAGCCAGGTCAGGAAGATGGGTTAGTAGAGGTGTGGCTCTAGGATAAGAATTAAGATCCTGGGTTGGAAGTAGGTCTGTCAAAACCAGCAAAGAATAAAATCTAGAGAAGGAAAGTGAGAACAGTATTTCTGGGGTCTGCATATAAAAGAAGGTCCATAAAACAAAGCACCTGGATCATGACTGTTGTGTCTAGAACAGTGGTTGTCTGCACTTTAGTTTTTAAGCACTTTTGTTGGGTGAGTAGATCAGAGTTAGAAATGTTTGCTGCTCCTCAGTGATGGGGTTTTGTAGATAATTGTGGCTGGTGGTCACAGGAGGAGGAAGAACTAAGGAAGTGAGTCCTCTGTGAAGACGGCAGAGTTTTAAGCACTTCTATCTTAAGGTCATAATTTTTATTGGCTTAGATAATTTTTGTTTTGTTAAAATCTTTTTTAAACTTTTATTTTTATTTTTTAGAGAAAGAGAGAGAGAGAGAGAGAGAGAGAGAGAGAGCGCGCTGGGGTGAGGCAGAAAGAGAGAAAGAGAGAGAGCCCCAAGCAGGCTCCACACAGTCAGTGCAGAGCCTGAAGCGGGTCTCAAATTCATGAACTGTGAGATCATGACCTGAGCCTAAATCAAGAGTCAGACGCTTAACTTACTGAGTCACTCAGGCACCCCTGGCTTAGGTAATTTTTATAATAAGTATAAACTGTTGAGTTTACTAGTAAGCATTTGAATTTTAAAATCTACCCATTCTTTGACTAAGAAATTTCACCCTAAGAATTTATGTTAATGAAATACTCACTCATTTAGCTAATATTTATT